AGATTGTACTTTTACACAAAACAAAAGGCTGTGAATTGTGTCACCTACACTAAAAAATGTTGAGGAAGGGAACTCTTTGCGGGCAATATGGACAAGAGAAAACATTATAGCACACAATAACCCTTTCAATATACATATGGGCATGTAGGTATTTGTACACCGTCATTTGACAACAAAAACACATCAGCTCTGACTAAACAACTGGCATTGACAAAAAGTAAAATGTAGTTACTAAAACTCCCCCACAGATTCCCTCAGTGATGTTTGTAAAACTAATCCTCACTTACCCTTCAGGATGTCTAGTCTTTTGTGTCCTCAAGGGGATAAACAGTATGCTTAGTATGTTTGAGGTGCTGTACTGACAGTGTACTTCGTGTGTGTATGGAGTCACTGTACTGGTAATGAAACATTCCTGCTGGTTCGCTCCGCGTTGCAGAGCGAATCTAAGTTGTACTAAGCTCTCCATCATGGCACTTTGGTTTATCACATGTACAGTGGACGTAATGTCGCTGTAATCACTGACACACAGAACCACAACAGAAACAAAGTAGGCCTACAGCCATTAAGCGGTTACTAAATAAACAGTAACCGCTACATTTAGTTGTGCATTTTCTTTAGGCTGTTTAGGAAACACTGCTGTGATGGACCAAGTTACAGCGTCTCAACAAGACTATCGGAACATTAACATTAGATGAAGAGCAGTGGCTTCCCTCCCTCAGTCTCAAGAGCAGAGAAGACGCACAGTAAAACATACTTTTTCACGCATAAAGACAGATGACTTACCCCTCCGCGCCCTTCTGTAAATACTGTAAAATTGTATCAAAGCGTTCCGGTAAAACACACAGGGACAAATCCGCATCCAATATATTTAGGAAACTGACAAACTCAGAGCACGAGCGCGAGGTTTGGCTCCTCCCACTAGAGAGTGTGTGTTTGTGTGTGTGTGTGTGTGTGTGTGCAGCTACACACGTGTACACAAGTATAGTCACAAAGCTCAATGTAATAAAAACATAAACCTGGCATGTGATCATATAAAACCTGGGACCATCATTCAATTAGAATTGATCAATTAAAAGGCCTACCAGACTGATCTGCTGGCAAACAGTGTCAACCCAAACAGAAGCGCAGTGTAATAACTGATCCATTGATATTTCATTCAGCCCTGGCCTGAAGGAAGAAGATGAAAGCTTGTGACTGAAAGGCCACAGATTCCAGTTTGTGAACCAGCTGAGAAGATCTGCCCCAGAGCAGTGAAAGCAGTGTCACTCATTGTCCTCAACACTGCTGATGAAGCCTTGAGTTAGTCACAAGCATCCTGGTTTGATTGTATCATCATTGTTATTAGTACTACAATTATTGGGCAGGTTTTATATTTAAAAAGTGTTGTCCTGAGTGTTTTATAGATTCTTGTTTACCGTATAGAGGTGTCAAATGATTTTCAGTAATGACATACAGCGTCTGCCATTTTTCCACTACAAAAAATGTAAGCTGTTAGTTGAAATGTTAATTTTGTCACTGAAACTTCAATGGATGAAACTTTGATGGCGAAAAGATGGATTGCCCTTCCAACTGTGAATTTCTTGTATTTTCTCTAGCACAAGGCTACTTTAAGAATTCCATGTGTAAAATAAAGCAAGCATGTCAATAAAAAAATAGAGGAAAAGAAAAGAGGCCGAATAAACCTATGCCAGATTCCATAGGAACCATTCTTCTTTGCAAAATAGATATTGTGTTTTAAAACAAGTCATTCCGTCATTAGGCTGCAGATGGAGCAGCAAAAAGTAAACTTTGGTGCCATCATGTGTCCCTGTGTCAGATGACAGCTGAATCACTGGTTAAAAACAGCAGGCAGAAGCAATCACTGGAGACTAGATCTGTTACACAAGTGGCTTATAATCACTTTATAATCACTTTTTATTTTTGCATGCCAGAAAGACCCTTTCTTGCTAAAAAAAAAAAAATCACATAGTGAAATTTGTTTTTGTGTTTTATGAGTTTTAGTGCGTGTGTTTGACTCTGTCTCCCCCTAAAGGCTGCTAGCAGAGTGAAGGCTGCCCTTCCGTGGCTCTTCCTCAGCAGTGCAGTGCCCGCTGTATTTTGATCCTGAAATACTAGAGTTACAGATCAACAGGGAATTTGATTCATAAACTTATTTTTTACTTGGATATGACGTGTTTTGCGATGCAGAGAACACACCTGTCTGGCATCAATGATTGCAAACATTAACTGTAAATTGGTATTGACAATAATATTGGAATTAAAATGAGGCTTCGGTTCTATTACAGTTGATGGTGTTGGTTACGCAGATCAATCTGGCAGACTGGCACAGAAACACCCTTTTCAAAATCTTCCCAGCAGGACAGATACAATTTTATTTTACATGAATTGTGGTTATATTGGTCGGATTCAAAGACAGAAGCGGTAGTGAACTTGAAACAAACTTGAAGCTAGTTTACACAAGTATTCTTGAACACAACATTCTTATTGTGCGTTTATTTTGTGAAGTAAAGCTGCCCTTTATATCTTCATGCGTAAAGATTATTTATCTCTATTTGTATATTGTGCAACCCAATCGTTTTCTCCGTGAGTGGAAGGTGTGAGGATGGAGAGATAGAGGGATTAAAAAGGACAGGCCTGAAAATAAAAACATAATAACCTCAGATGAAAGGAATGTCATGCCGTAATAGGATTTCACAGCAGAAAACCCTCTTCCTCATAAAACACTGCTTGGATTATGACGCCCATATGAACTTTTCTTTTTAAAGATCTGTAGTATCAAAACTTTCTCTCTATGAACTGATCCTTTAGAAAAATCATTGACTTTGCAAAACTATAGAGCATGAGCCACCATCACCTATTCAATCCATATTTCTTTATCGCTTCACTGAAGAGGATAGTGGGTGTTGGATCAGTTTGGGTAAGTCAAAAAAGACCTGTTGATGCAAAAAAAGCAGCCCTGTAGTCTGTAGACATAAGTAATGAGTATTAGTACTTTTCAAAGGACAGGAAGATGAAAAATGTGTCACTGGTTGCAGCAAACAGCACACAGTGTGACTGAAGATGATCTATTACCACTTTGTGCCTGCAGCAACATTGTTTATATATTTTACTTGAAAAACTATATATTCTATTTTGATATTATGAAATGCGATGGATGTTAATAATAATAATAATAATAGTATTTTTTTTATAGAGCGCTTTTCAGAATACTCAAAGACACTTTACATTAAAATCATATAAAAAAGCTATACACTAAAAACATAAAACACACAATATTGGTCACACTTTTAAAAGCAGTTCTGAAAAGGTGAGTTTTGATTTGGGATTTGATCATGGAAAGATCGGTGCAGTCTCGGATGTGTTTGGGGAGAGCGTTCCAGAGGGAGGGGGCAGATATGGAGAAGGCTCTGTCACCCCATGTCCGGTGCTTGGTCCTGAGTGGAAGGGACAAGAGGTTGGCATCAGAGGAGCGAAGCCGACGGGATGGAGTGTGGTGGTGAAGCAGGTCAGTGAGGTAGGAAGGGGCCTGATTGTGGAGGGCTTTATGAGTGAGGAGAAGGACTTTGTATTGGATCCGTTGTGGGACGGGGAGCCAGTGGAGATTCTGGAGAACAGGGGTGATGTGATCATGGGAGCGGTAGTGGGTGAACATGTGAGCAGCAGAGATGTACTGGAGTTTATTTAGGATTTTGGATGATGTTCCATGAAGAATACTGTTGCAGTAGTCGATTCTGGAGGTGATGAAGGAGTGGATCAAAGTTTCAGCAGTAGATAAGGAGAGTGATGGGCGGAGACGGGCTATGTTTTTTAAGTGGAAAAAGGCAGTTCTGGTGATTTGGTTGACGTGTGTTCAAAGGAGAGTTTGCTGTCAAACATGACTCCGAGGTTGCGGATGCGTGGGGCAGAGTGGAGTTGTCGATGGTGAGGCAGAAGTTGTGACTGGTTTTAGTGAGGGATTTGGGACTGATGATGATCATGTCAGATTTATCACAGTTGAGTTTGAGGAAGTTGGTTTGCATCCATGATTTAATAACAGTGAGGCAGTTGGTGAGAGTGGAGTGAGTAGCAATGGTAATGGCCTTTGTGGAGATGTAGAGCTGGACATCATCGGCATAGCAGTGGAAGTGGAGACCATGTTGACTTATGATATTACCAAGAGGGAGCAAGTAGAGGATGAACAGAAGAGGACCAAGGACCGAACCCTGGGGGACGCCTTGAGACAGAGGAGCAGTGGAGGAGATGCACTTGTTGATACTGATGAACTGTTTGTAAGATATGATTTAAGCCAGGAGAGAGCAGTTCGGGTGATATTGAGAGAGGATTCGAGGCGGGAGAGAAGGATGTTGTGGTTGATAGTGTCGACTACAATCACATATATTGTGAAATATATGTTTCACAATATATTTTACGGTGGCCCTTAAAGTCAAATCAACACTTCACTAAACACTAAAACATTTCACAAAACAATAAAACATTTTTTTTAAAACAGTATTTCACAAACACGATGACATTTCACAAAACAATTGGGAAAGAAGTTGTAGTGTTTGAACCTACATTTTTCTGTTTTAGTCTAACCAAACGTAGTTGTGTTTTCTCTTTTGCTGTTTTGTGAAATTATTTTTGTGTTTTGTCCCTCCATACATATTAACCCAGCAGATTGAAACTTCACACAGAGAAGCTTTGCAAAGTGGCAGCAAACAAAGTCAAAGAAAATGAATAAATAATATTTTCTAAATATACATTCAAATCCGCTCCTCTAAAAATCCTATGAAAAACATTGTCCATGCATTTGTTTCAACAGACAGTGGAGATAAATACATCCATATTTTTTATTTAACCTTTATTTAACCAGGTAAAATCAATTGAGAACCAATTCTCATTTTCAATGATGACCTGGCCAAGAGGCAGTAGCACACTCCACACAAGTTACACAAACAACACAGATACAATACAGTATAACAAACAGTGAAAAAATGACTAAAAACAACCTAGATAAAATAATAAACACTATGTACAAAATAAAAGGCAGATTACTGGATGTTATTAGTAAAAAAATGGAAGAAAGAGAGAAGTGAGGGCTGGTCAGCAAGTACAGCAGTCAACTATAACTTGTTGCAGCTTATGTTTGAACATGTTGAGAGAGGTGAGAGCTCTTAGTTTGAGTGTGTTTTGTAATGAGTTCCAGTCCTTTGCAGCAGCAAAATGAAAGGAGTTATGACCAAACACAGTACGGACTTTTGGAATGATGAGCCTAATGAAGTCACTGGATCTTAAATGCCGATTGCTGTCAGAAATGCGCAGAAGATTTGAGAGGTAATGAGGAGTCATTCCCAAAATGGATTTATAGACCACAAGCAGCCAGTGTTGTAGCCGCCTGGTATGAAGGGAGGGCCAATCCACCAATCTGTATAGAGCACAGTGGTGGGTGGTGAAGGGTGCAGATGTGGAAAAACGGATTGCTGAGTGTGTCCAGTTTTCTGAGGGTGGTCTTTGATGCCATTTTATAAATTATATCGCCGTAATCAAATAGAGGAAGGATGGTCATTTTCACAAGGGTGAATTTGGCAGAGTGTGTGAAGGAGGCCTTGTTTCGATACAGGAAACCCAGTCTAGCTTTGACTTTAGCCAGAAGGTTATTGATGTGTATGTTAAATGAGAGAGACGAGTCCAACCAGAATCCAAGGTATTTGTAGGAGCTGACAAACTCCAGCTCCGAGCCATCAGCACTGTAGACATTGGGAGGGCTGGGAATGATGAGGTTTTTCCAGTCAAACAGCATACATTTGGTCTTTTTGGGGTTGAGGAGCAGGTGGAGGCTGTGGAGAGACTGTTGGATGGAGGTGAGGCTTTGTTGAAGAGTGGACACAGCAGAGTAGAGTGAGGGACAGGTGAATATATGATGGTGTCATCAGCATACAAATGAATCAAGGAATTTCCAGCAGCTTTTGCTGCATCGTTAATATAAATAGAAAACAAAATAGGGCCTAAGATGGAGCCTTGAGGGACACCTTTAGAGATGGTAAGCGGTTCAGACATGATGTTTTAAGTCTTCACCCGCTGGACACGACCAGCCAAGTACGTAGCTAGCAAACCAGTTGCAACAACTACTGGACAAGCCAATGCTGGTAAGCCTTTGCAGGAGAATGTTATGGTTGACCGAGTCAAAAGCCTTGGCTAGATCTATGAAGGCAGCTACACAAGTCTGTTTGTTGTCTATGGCGGTGATGACGTCATCAAGGACCTTCAGTGTAGCGGTGGTACATCCGCGGCCTTTCCTAAACCCAGACTGCAGGTCAGACAAAATATGATTTGAGTCAATGAAGTGAACTAGTTGTTTATGTACCAGTTTCTCTATGACTTTGGCCAGACAGGGCAAAATGGAAATCGGCCTGTAGCAGTTCGGGTCAGAGCCAGAGCCTCCTTTAAAGAGGGGAAGAATCGTAGCCAATTTCCAGTCAAGGGGGAAAACAGACAAATTAAATGATAGGTTAAACAGGCTTGTAATAGGGGAAGCAATAATATGAGCGGCTGATTTTAAAAACACAGGGTCAATCCCATCAGAACCAGCTGACTTGTTTGAATCTAACTTAATAAGTTCATCCAGGACTTCCGAAACCTTAACAGGTTGAAGGGAGAAGCTGGTAACGCTGGGTGATGAAGTAGGCGTGTTAGATGAATCTATTTCAGGGGCAACTGCATCAAAGAAATTAGACGATTTCACGAAATGTTGGTTGAAGTGTGTGGCCATGCGTTGTTTATCAGTAACAACAATGTCATCAAAAATCATAGAAGTGGGTAGATACGGAGAAGCAAGTTTGTTTTCCATGGATTTAACTGTTTTCCAAAATTTATTGCCGTCAGAGCCACTGGCTGAGAATTCTTCCTTGAAATGACTGATTTTAGCTTTCCTGATCGCCTGTGTTGTTTTGTTCCTGCATTGTCTGAAGGCCAGCCAGTCGGCAGCAGACTGAGAAGACCTCGCCCTCCGCCATAAGGTGTTTTTTAGGTGGATCAAAGCCGCCAAATTGTGACTAAACCAGGGGCTGTAGCGATTCTTCGTCCGGAATCGTTTCAATGGGGCGTGTTTCTCAATGATTAGGCTAAAGGTGTTTTTGAAATAAGACTAGGCATCCTCCACTGAGGGAATAAGATTGATTCTTTCCCAGGACGCAGCTGCAACATCTTGCAGGAAGGCCTGATTGGCAAAGTTTTTCAGTGAGCGCTTGGTCACAATCACCGGCGGACGTTTGACAGAGAGGCCGAAGCGAATGCATGCAATAGCACGGTGGTCACTCAAGTCTTGACTGAAGACTCCAGATCGGTAATTTGATGGAGTGTTAGTGAGAATAATATCAATCAGTGTGGCAGATGACGGTGATTTCAAATTATATCTGGTTGGCTCAGATACAATTTGAAAGAGGTTTAAAGCATCAAATTGCTGTGTAACCAAATCAGGGGGGTTGATCATATTCCAGTTTAGGTCACCCAAAAGGACAAACTCAGAGGAAATGTGAGGGGCCAGCAGTTCACCGAGAGCTCTTAATGTGCATGCTGGAGCAGAGGGTGGTCTATAGCAAACAGCAACAGACAGAGTGAAATTTGTTGACAGTTTAATTTTTAACAGTAACAGTTCAAATTGCTTGGGGACTGATTTAGACAGCGTAACAGAACATTGCAAATGGTCTTTTACAAATATAGCCATGCCGCCACCCTTGGTGGATCTATCCTGACGAAAGACGTAACCCGGTATTCGAATTTCTAGATCCGAGACACCTTTCTTAAGCCATGATTCAGAGACAGCCAGAACATCAGGGTTTGCAGTGTGCACCCAAGATTTTAAATAGTCATGTTTTGGCAACAAACTACAGATATTGACATGTAAAAAGCCCAATGATTTACGATCACAAAAATCATTAAATGACAGATTGGAGACAGTGGGACCATGGATAGCGGGCCCTGGGTTTGGGTGAACATTTCCAGAGATGAACAACATGAGAATGATTAACACACGTCTGAGGACAGTGCTAAAATGTTGCATATGTTTATCTTTCAATGACGGTTTGGTCGAAATTAAAGAGGAGTCGTGGAACTGCTGCAATAACATGTAAGAGTACAAAGGAATAAGCTTTGTTACAAACCAAGTAGGAAGTCCAAAAGTCTTTGTAAACCAGAAGGAAGAAATGTCCCTGGTTGATAAACTGAAGCCCAATGTACCAATACCGTTAGAAAGGATGGCAGTCTCCTGTGTGTACCTGCTAGAAAGGCAGGTTGGATGAGCTGATGTGATCCAGAGAAGAAAAATGATTGTGAGCCAAAAAGGCCGGGAAGGTTTTAGTGGATGAAACATGTCCAAACCAATAACCAATAGGTCAGGCTGTAGCAGGTTGAAGAAGGCCAGGCTATAGCTAGCAGAGGAAGCCAAGCTGTGGCAGGTTAAAGCAGTCCAGGCTGTAGCAGGTTGAAGAGGTCCAGGCTGTAGCAGGTCGAAGAGGTCCAGGCTGTGGCAGGTTGAAGAGGTCCAGGCTGTAGCAGGTCGAAGAGGTCCAGGCTGTGGCAGGTTGAAGAAGTCCAGGCTGTAGCAGGTTGAAGAAGTCCAGGCTGTAGCAGGTTGAAGAGGGCCAGGCTGTAGCAGGTCGAAGAGGTCCAGGCTGTAGCGGGTTGAAGAAGTCCAGGCCGTAGCAGGTTGAAGAGGGCCAGGCCGTAGCAGGTTGAAGAGGTCCAGGCTGTAGCAGGTTGAAAAGGTCCAGGCTGTAGCAGGTTGAATTGGCCCAAGCTGTAGCAGGCTGACTAGGCCCACGCTGCAACAGGTTGAGTTGGCCCAGGCTGTAGTAGGCTGAATTGGCCCAGGCTGGAGCAAGTTGAAGAGGGCCAGGCTACAGCTAGCAGAGGAGGACAGACTGTACCAGGTTGAAGAAGCCCAGGCTACAGCTAGCAGAGGAAGCTAGGCTGAAGCAGGTTAAACAGGCCCAGGCTACGTCTAGCAAAGGATATAATAGGCTGTAATTTATAGATTTTGTAAGAAACCAATAAATAGGCACTATGCTCTCAGTTCAGTACAAGCTAAAGACACTTTAGACGTTACAACAGCCAGATCAGCAGGCAAAATAAAACATAAATAAAACATAAATTCCGAGCTCACATGCAGACACACAAACACAGGACTGGTCTGGCGGCCATCTTGGTATTGCAGAAACTCCACACAGAAGGATCGAACCTGGGCCTCTCTGTCACCCTCTGGCTGTGAGGCCACTACACCACCATATTTACACAGTGTGTAAGGTGAAAAACAGAAATTGTGTCTTTCTCCATGAATGTTGGACTCAGTCACACCGGATAAAACCAGACTGGTCCAGATTACATGTGACAGGACTGATGAAAGTGGGAAATGAATATTATTATGTTTCAGTTTTTAGTGTGTAGTGGTGCCACAGGGCCTCTGTGGTTCAGGTGTTCACAGTGTTAGCAGCTGCGAGGAGTGAGGAGAACAGAGAGTCTGGTCTTTGCTTCAGCACATCTGGATGGTCAAACTCAGCCACCTGTCAGACAAATCCCTTACTGTTAGTCTAGGATTAGAAGCACATAAACTTCATCTTTATCTTTTTTTAATCTTTCAAACCTTTCCATTGTCCATGACCAGAATACGATCTGCGTGCATCACAGTGTTGATACGATGGGCGATGGTGAGCATGGTGCAGTCCTGAAAGGCTTCGTTGATGGTGGTCTGGATCAAGGCGTCTGTCTCTGCATCGATGGATGCTGTTGCCTCATCCAAAAGAATGATCTGTTGGACAACAGGAGGGACAGTAAGTCCAGACGAAGAGAAAAATACTGGTTGTGGTGGATTAATTGATGCAAATGTGAATAATATCAATATCACAGGCAGTTAGTTTGGTTAGTTTTACAGTCTTTTTTACAATGTTTTCATTTCATTCAGTCACATAAGGATGATAATTACTGAGGTCAGGTTTAATAAGTTACATATAACAAGTTAACATTTAACCTAATATATTCTTTCCAGTGTTCAAGAGACACCATAATCATATTTTGGGTTATTTGATAATCGCTTCAAGATCAGAATATCAATGAATACAGACTCAAATAATGAATAAATATACAAATGCATTCTGCCTGTAGAAAACAATCTTGAGTTTATCAGCAGGACACAGAAAACATAAAAAATACAGAATGCGGTTATTTAAACAGGCCACAGGCTACAGAGAGGAAACACTGCTGCTCTGGCATTGATGATAGCTGTGTGTCTTTTTAGTATTAGTACAGTGATCTTGTGTGCAGACACAAACTCCATCAGAAGTCTCTACAGCTGTTAAAGC